GGCACGCTGTTTTACCACCTTTTCTGATTCAAATGGGATCCGGGTCCAACTGGTCAGGTTCAATTTCACTCGTCCCGGCTGCTCCAAGATCAATACCAATCAAAGCAGTGATTGCTCTATTGTTCTGCTTAATACTACAGCTCCTTCACTGGCTCTGGGCCTTCATCACCATCAGCGGCCACATCTGCGCCATTCAATAGATCATTCTCCAAATAGCTATATGGCATTTATACACAGGAAATTATAAAAATGCCAAGCTTCTCTGTGCTTTTTTTTAACATATTAAAAAACAAAATTTATGTCATCTCTCTGTGTGGGAGCTTGATGGAGTTTGAAAAGTTACATCTACTCACACTTTTGCTTTTTTTGTGTGTGTGTTTGTTCATTTATATCTCTGATAAAAGTCCAAGGGATGTATTCACTAAAATTCTTAAGGAAAAACACGTTTTTTTTTTCTTAACAATAAAATCAGATGTTGTCTGAGATCATACCCAAATAATATGACAAACTCTATATTTCACTGATACATCCTAAAAACAATGTAAGAACAAGTAAGGAAATTCTTCTAAATTAATGTTTTTAAAAATGTTTTGTGAACCCCTGGTGTTTAAAATAATCAGAATAATGCTGCATGGAACTTTATAGAACAAACTGACATTGATTCAATGTTTATTTGCCTAATCAGTATATTATTGACCTCTATATACTGTATACTAGTCATTGACTGTGCAAGATAGACATAGGTTTCAATAACACATCTTTGATTAAAAAAACTGACTGTGCAATCTACAGAAATAATGCAATGTAAATATTCACTAGATAATATGCAAATATATATAATATACTCCAACAGACTGATATTCTGAGGCATAATATAAATGAAGTGATAACAAAACATATGCTTCTGACATGAAATATAAAACACAAGCAGGTCCTATAAACAGCACACAAATAGGCAAACACCAGCTTGAACCATTGTCTTACACCTGGATGCACAAAACCAACATGCAAATCCATGCAACACTGACTACCAAAGGCATTCAGAGACATAAACAAGACAGAGGATATGAGAATGCTCAAATACACATGGACTCAATCATGCAAATGAGTGTATGAATACAAATGGATAAAGAGTTGAGCTATGCATACAAAATGCACTTTAGAGTTTTGGCAAACAAATTGGTCCTGTTTTCCGCCCTACCCCAGTGCTCTCTCTCTCTCTCTCTCTCTCTCCACCATCACAGTTTTAAAAAATGCATATTATCATCACTATGCTCTTCAATTGCTCCTTGTTTGAATTATGTACTGAATGTCTGAGTCTTTAGATGACTCATAATAACTTCATTTTTGTGTTAATAACAACACGGTACATGAAAGCCATTTACACAGTGTGAGTACTGTATCCAAAAATGCACTGAAAGTGAGAGATAGGATTGGTAAACAACCTCCTTTTAATCTAGGTGCGATTTTGTCACAGGTTTCCAAAAACAAGAAGGTCAGCTCCATTTAAACCAGCTGGACCTGAAAGCAAGCTATGCTGCACTGGCTCAGTCGTGACTTACTCCCTGAGACGAGTAAACCGAATGTGCGCTGGCACGCACAGATGAGGCATCATTGTTATGAAGAGTGACATAAGCCTCCGCCAAGTGAAGCGTCACCGGACGCCTGTCACGCTAGCGCTTGCCACAATTACCGCCAACTGTTTTGATAGCGAGAGATGTTACGCAAGCAAAGAGTTCAAACTCCTCCAAGACAGGAGGCCGATTCTGCGATAACCTCACTTTCATGTCTGGGCGTCCCAGGAGACTAGCATCTCTCTCTGCTCTCTTCGTTGGTAGAGCAGTTCAGTCAAACGTTTGCATCACTGCAACACGAACAAAACCTCTCATTATTTGCAGGATCTCAATTAAATTTTATCTTAGCCAATTTAAAAGATCTGTACGGCAGCAACTTCTCTCTTAATTGCTAGGGTTTTTTTTTAGTTTTTTTTTTAAAATAAAGCCTTGGCTGATAAAACACTGAAGATATGGGATACTGCGTTTGTGACAAGAGAGCAAATTAATGCACTGTCATCCTTCCATTGAAGTAAGTCAAGGGATGATTCTCCCTCGGTCTTCCGAGGCTAACTGCTTCTTGTCCCAGAAAATATGCAATGGCATGACAAAAAAATCTGCAAATTCATATGATAGCACAACACTCGTGACCTGAACACACATAGGACTAAAAGGAAAAAAAAAAAACAGCACATCCAAACATATTCTAAAGAGACTGGATGATGTGCAGTGTGGCTGCCTTAATAAGTGGGTGTAGTTCATCTGGGGATTTCCACTGGAGAGTAAAAAAGGCTACGCTGGACACTAGGGAAGACGAGAGGGGGGAAAGAGAGGAACTGCAGACCAGGATTCCTCCCAATTAGCTCACTTCGACATTCTGGTTCTGTCCCAGTTGGCTCCCAAAGCTTTTCTTGGCTCAACAAAGCAAGAGAATCAGGCTGAAATGGGGTCCATGAAGAGGGCCGTCTGAACTGGATCTCCTTTTATCCTCGCATTCCAACACGTCCAGGGATTCAAGGCTCACAGGCAACGTCTGCTCCTGCGTAATAAGAACCAACGGCCCATTTTATTTGAAAATCAACAATCAACCGATTGCAATTTTCTTGGCCGATTCCGATTTCTGATTTTTCGTTAGTGTGATCTGCCGATACTGATTTTTGCCGATTCCGATTTTCTTTCTAAGAACTATAATTGACAGCATATACAAACAAAAATCTACTTTTCTTCAACGCAAAGTTTTATTTTCATAAAAAAACACAAGTAAAAAGTCCGTAATAAAATAAGAACAAAAACAAAGGCAAACAACAGCACAAACAAATGCAATAGAATAAAGAGAGCTATGAAACTAAGTTTTTCAGGTTAAGTAAGTTTTTATTCAATTAAGAAATACTGCATAAATTAAAGTAATCAAATGTAAAATAACACATCCAGTGTTATTTTACATTTGATTACTTTCATTTCTGTAGTCTTCATTGTAAAAATTAAATACAGATTAATGCTTACCATTAAAGTTATAAAACGTATTCAGTCAAGAGCAGAAAGTGATTTTCTTTGTCTTTTGTTCTTTGATTAACATGACAGACAGCAGCAGAAATATTGGACTGCGGTCCCTTTAAGAGTTTATCCACGGACCCAATATACTGTGTATGTAATGTAATGTAATTAACACCCAATATACACAACATGCGTTCTCTTTCTCAACTATTTAACATTCCAAAACTGACTGCCTTTAACTGGATACTCGCCAAGATGGGCATTTTGACATAATTTTGTATGTATTTGAACATTTTAGCACAGTTAGCCACTCATTTTGGTATTTGTGGCTCACAAGCTGTTTGAGACTGAGCGTGGCTTGTGCGCTCCACTAATATAGATCGGCGGTGGTGCGCGCGCGTTTGGTATAAGCGCAAAAGCTGCGGGAATGACTATAATGCGCAATACAACCACTATTTAACCTCCATTCACATATCGCGTTTTTTGCGCGCTCAAGTTCGTTATTTCAAATGAAGACGCACGGCAGACGCGCTCATAATGGAAGCGACGCGGTCGCGACGCACATGCGTCTTTGAACGTTTTAGCGCAGTTAGCCACTCATTTTGGTATTTGTGGCTCACAAGCTGAGACTGAGTGCGGATTGTGCACTCCACTAATATAGATCAGTGGTGGTGCACGCGCGTTTGGTATAAGCGCGAAATCTGCGGGAATGACTAAAATAATGCGCAACACAAGCACTATTTAACCGGAGCGAATGAGACGTGTGTGAGAGAGAATGGGTCGTCGGGGAG